AGAATAGACAAGGTCATTCTGAAGTAATGCAGAGGTGATTCTCCGAAATAATAGATATGTCAGATCAGACACAGCTTTGACATAATAATCCAGTTCACTGGAGGGAAAAACAACAGAAATGTTTACAGGTATACACGCTAGGGATTCAGGAGAAATGTGCAATTAATTTGAGTTTGAATTTCTGTGGATTTGACTTATGAATTTGATTCTACAGCAAATCAGCTTTTTCTGATTTTTTCAAAGTCACATGGACTCTGCCAACTTGTTTTTCCCTTTTAGCAGTATGTATGCTAATTTTCCCTTGTGTTAATATGCTACTAGGCAATGAGCGCCAGTGTGGTGTGGTGGTTAGAATGTTGACCCAGGGACCCAGGAGATCCAGGTTCTAGTCCTCACTTGGCCAGGAAGCTTTCTGGATAACTTTGGACCAATCAGTCACTCTCAGCCCAACCCATCTCACAGGATTGCTACAGTGAAGATAAAATGGAGATGTGTACATTGCCTTGAGATCCTCACATGAGGAAAAGAAGGTGAAATATAAATGTGATGTAAGAATAACAGTGCACCTTGACTAATACACATTAGCCCATCTGCACAAGCAAAACAAACTCGAGTTATACAATTCCAGTTTCATCAATGAGCGGGCAACAGGATGGAAGATTCCTGACAGAACTGACTTAACACAATGTGTACCTCTCCAATGCAAATATGATCCATACTACCCAAGGACAATTCTTTTAGAATCTGACAGTACTGACCTATCAGTTTGGCAGTTGCTTTTGTAGCTGAAGGCACATTTCATGATGCTGTCAAGAGTCATCAAACTGACATGTTCAAACATCTCCAGAGACTTTGTAGGATCTTCTCTGATCAGCCTCTCCCATTTATTCTGATGTGGAAAATAGAATGAGAAAGATTAAGTCATTTAGGTGGCCTGAAAGCAAGATCTACTTTAAAAAAAAAGGATGTTGAAAAAGTCTCCATTTTCAATTATGTTACTATGATAAAGCTGAAGGTTCAGAATATGTTACAAAAGACCCATCGATCAGTTTTGCTTTAGTCTGGGGGTAGAGGATTTGCACAAATGTTTATGTGAACCAATGCAGATTAGTGCAAATTCATATTAGTACAAGTGCACATTAGTGCATGCGAAAAAAATAATACAACCCTTAAAAATCCAATTCTATGAAATGGCTAGGGGAATGAAAAAAGTCTACCAATCTGCAAGACATTAATGGAAGAGGTTTAAGAAAAGCTGTGCATCCATACTGAGACTTCTGTCACACACGTTGTTCCCAGCTGGCTCTATATCCTGAGAATTGGTTGCTTACCAGCATCACTTGGGTTGAATCTCTAATTATTGCCAGGTAGGGTTTCAAGATGTCATAATGGAAAGCCGGGGTTAATAATCGCCTGTGTTGTTGCCACTTAGGTCCATCTAAGATCAGTAGGCCTTTCCCTTTGTGAACAAAGAGCAAAGAGCAAAAGACAAATTGGACTGTACAGGAACATAGCAAATCATTGTTAATTTTAATTTTAATGCAAATGCTTGTTTGCACTAAAGATTAACAGACCGTTATCCTAGTCTTGAAGGTATGAAGATAGGGCCCATTAATGCATGCAGTGTGCAAATCTATCCTTCTGGCACCTCTGCTGAATCACTTTTGCTGGATTCTACATTGCTTCAAAGCCTAACAGAATGTGTTTGGCCAGAGTTAATAGCAGGACAAAAGAAGTGGACCCATGTGAACACCAAGGGCTGGAACTGGTCCATCATGTCACTTCTGATGCTATTCTGAAAACCATCTCCTTTCTCCATTTGCAGAGTTCCTGCACACGGTGGCAGGCTGTCTTAGGATTAATAGGTAACTTTATTTCTGCCTGGAATTATGAACTTTACCCAACAGAGAAACTGTTTTTGCCTATATGATCCAAGAACAAGGGTTTCTTGACCTTTTCATCTCACCACAGAATTTATTGGAATAAGTCCTGTATAATTCTACCCTTGTGTTATTCAGGGGACTAAATTATAATACTGGCCATTCCTTAGTATCTGTGCATTCATACCCATATTAGGATATTTGCTAATATCAATATAAATTGGTCATATGATATAGAGTAAGAACTCTTTGTGATATCAATTCTGGAATCCAGAAATGGCCTCGCTGCCTAAGTCTAAACTTTAAGGGCAAATTAATTCTTAGCTTGCACATTTTTTTGTGTGATCCTCTATTCTATCCTCTATTCTAATGTGACTTATCATGTGTTATTTGACCCTGGCAAAAGAAGTAATATGCAGGTTTCAGGGCATCATGGGACAAGGTGCTTGGACTAGTACATACCACCACCTGTGTACTGGACCCCTGCCCATCGTGGCTACTATCCAAAGCCAAACACGGGATTGGTTCCTGGATCCAGGAGGTCATCAATGCCTCTTTGAAGGACGGCCAGGTGCCTGCCCCTCTAAAGGAGGCGGTGGTCAGGCCAGTCCTAAAGAAGGCGTTCCTGGATCCAGAGATGGCCGCCAATTATAGACCGGTGGCCAACATCCCGTTTTTGGGCAAGGTGCTGGAGCGGGTGGTGGCGGGACAACTCCCAAGCTCTCTTGGATAAGACTGATTATCTGGACCCATTTCAGTCTGGCTTCAGACCCGGGTATGGTACTGAATCTGCCTTGGTCGCCCTGTATGATGACCTGTGCAGGGAGAGAGACAGGGGGAGTGCGTCCCTTTTGGTCCTCCTGGACCTCTCAGCAGCTTTCGATACCATCAACCATGGTATCCTTCTGGATAGGCTAGCAAGACTGGGGGTCGGAGGCACTGCTTTTCAGTGGTTCTGCTCCTATCTCAATGGCTGATTCCAGAAGGTGGTGCTGGGGATTATGGCTCTGCGCCATGGCAGCTATGCCATGAAGTTCTGCAGGGATCTATTCTGTCCCCCTTGCTCTTCAACATCTACATGAAACCACTGGGAGAGGTCATCCGGAGGTGTGGGCTGTGGAATCATCAGTACGCTGATGATACCCAGCTCTACCTCTTTTTTTCAACCAATCCAGGTGAGGCAGTGGTTGTACTGAACCGGTGCCTGGCTGAGGTAATGGGCCGGATGAGGGCCAATAAAGTGAAGCTCAATCCAGACAAGACAGAGATCCTGATGGTAGGTAGTTTGAACTCCTGGGTAGGTGACTTGGATCTTGTCCTGAATGGGGTTGCACTCCCTCTGAAGGACAGGGTCTGCAGCTTGGGAGTGCTCCTTGACCCGGAGCTGACTTTGGAAGTCAAGTGTCAGCGGTGGCGAGGAGCACTTTCCATCAGCTTCAGCTGATCCATCAGCTGCGTCCCTACCTGGAGGACGACTGCCTAGCAACAGTGACACATGCATTGGTTACTTCCCAGTTGGATTTCTGTAATGGCTCTACGTGGGGCTGCCCTTGAAGACAGTCCGGATACTTCAGATGGTGCAAATTAGAGCAGCCAGGTTGCTGACGAGGACTGGGCGTTATTCTCATATAACCCCAGTCCTCTACCAGCTTCACTGGCTTCCCATCGAAGTCCGGGCTCAATTCAAGGTGTTGGTCATTACTTATAAAGCCCTTAACAGCTTGGGACTCGGATACCTGAAGGAATGCCTGCGGCCATATTTGCCCTCCCGCCCCTTGAGATCGGCAGTAGGGGCTCTCCTCTGGGAGCCTTCCATAAGAGATATTAGGAAGCAAAGTACCCGGAGGAGGGCTTTCTCTGCGGTGGCGCCCCATCTGTGGAATGCGCTCCCCAGAGAGGTCCGCCTGGCACCATCGTTATTTGTTTTCCAGCGCCAGGCCAAGACCTTTTATTCAAACAGTATTTTAATAATTTTTAATATTTATAGTTTTAATTGTGCAGCCAGTGTGTTTCCAAGTTTTAATTGTAATTTTAATTGTACTGTTTTATTTATTTATTTGTTGATGTGAGCTGTCCCAAGGCTATGTAGCAATGGGGACGGCATATAAAAACTTTAAATAAATAAATAATAAATCATTAAACTTTATGAGATCAATTATCATTATCAATGGTCACATGTTATATTTGTTTATTCATATTCATATTTATATCCCACCTTTTCTTCTTTCAAGGAACTCAAGGTGGCTTACATAATATGCTCCTCCTCTCAGTCTTATTCTCAAAACAACAGCCCTGTGAGGTAGGCTGGATTGAGAGTCTGCGACTAAGTCACCCAGCTAACTCCATGCTTGAGTGGGGACTAGTACCCAGATCTCCTGAGTCTCAGTTCCACACTCTTAACAACTAAACTGGATCTCCATGTTATATCAAGATCATCACATTCTCAGAATGGGCAGATTAGTGTTCCAACAGAGTAGAGCAACATCTGTGATGCATTACTGTAATGTAATTAGGACAGTTCTGGAAACTAAAGAGATCACACTTTCTAGTGGAATCCAAAGTGTCTTGGAAGAGTGTGTCTCTTTATACAACCTCTTTCTTCTACTTTGGGGTTTGATTCTAGACATTAAAATCCTGTTCTAGACATAAAAGCCCTTGAAGACATTTAACATTTGTAAAGCATCAATACATATTTAAAAGCATCCAGGCCACATTAAAGAGCTTTAATTTCTACATGCTTACCAATCCAAGGAATCAAACGCTCATAGCTGAATGCTGGCTTGGAATCTTAAAAAACAAACAAACAAACATATCATTTAGTGTTGCAAAGAAAGATCTACAGTAAGACTTAACATCTTGTGCATTGATGTCCATGCTGGAAATATGTCTGTAATTGAAAGAAGGATGAGATATATAGTAAATCTGAGGAAGTGTGTCTATTGCATAGCTAGATAGACATGATAGATACAGAGGGAGGGAAGGAGGGAAGGAGGGAGGAGGGGGATTGGGGGGCATAGGGTTCTTCCTTTCTGCTGCCCATGGAAACCTCATTTCCATTAACCTAACCCCCATCTTCCATAATAATTGCATAAATATTTTGTATATAAACAAAAAAATGATTGGGACACAGAGAGCTTTCTTTGCACAATTATTTAGTTAGGCTGTCCACCTCTACAATCCTACCATAGAAGGTTTAATAGCTTCACTGGAACTGGCATATTTTCATCACTGCAAGTGACTGTGATGGTTGTTAGGAGGTAAACAAAAGAAAATCACAACAATTACTATGCTTCTTCAATATGTCATGCAAGTTCATACAAGTCTACTTAGAAGTTATACGAAACTCAGTGAGGCTTTTTCCTAGGTTAGTTTTGATAGACTTGTAGTTTGCTGAGAATAGTTGAATCCTCTACTGAAACTGTATTTTCGAAAAGAAGATGTAGTGCAAGAAGGCAGGAGGATTAAAGCAGTTCTTATTTTAGTGGAGGTCACCAAGGTGAATTCCCTTCATGGAACACTGCCTTGCTGTGGTGAAGGGGCTTGTGTAGTGCATGGGTACCCAAGATGGTCAGGCCCTAGCAGAGGCCTCTGACAAAAGGTGATCCACTGGTGAAGGAAATGGCAACCCACTCCAGTATCCTTGCCATGAAAATCCTGTGGACAGAATCATAAAGATAAAAGATATGACACCAGAAGATGAGCCCCACAGGTCGGTGTGCTACTGGGGAAGAGCAGAGGGCTAGTACTAGTAGCACCAGAAAGAATGAAGCGACTGGGTCAAAGCCAAAAGGGCACGCAGTTGTGGATTTTCTGCTGGTGAAAGAAAAGTCTGATGCTGTAAAAAACAATATTGCATAGGAACCTGGAATGTAAGATCTATGAATCAAGGTAAGCTGGATGTGCTCAAACATGAGATGACAAGACTGCAAATCGACACCTTAGGAATCAGTGAACTAAAATGGACAGGAATGGGTGAATTTAATTTGGATGACCATCAGGTATACTACTGCGGGCAAGAATCCCTCAGAAGAAATGGAGTAGCCTTCATAGTCAATAAAAGGGTAGAAAAAGCACTACTGGGATACAATCTCCAAAATGACAGAATGATCTCAGTTCAAATCCAAGGAAAACCATTCAACATCACAATAGTCCAAGTCTATGCCCCAACCGCTGGTGCTGAAGAGGCTGAAGCTGACCGGTTCTTTGAAGGCCTACAACACCTTCTAGAATTAACACCAAAAAATGGGGGATTGGAATGCTAAAGTAGGAAGCCAAAAGATAACCGGTAGAATAGGCAAGTTTGGCCTTGGAGTACAAAATGAAGCAGGGCAAAGGCTGGCAGAATTCCATCAAGAGACCATGCTGGTCATAGCAAACACTCTTCCAACAACCCAAGAGACAACTCTACACATGGACCTCACCAGATGGTCAACACAGAAATCAGATTGACTATGTGCTCTGCCACCAAAGATGGAGAAGCTCTATACAGTCAGTAAAAACTAGACCAGGAGCTGACTGTGGCTCAGATCATGAGCTTCTTGTTGCAAAATTTAGGCTTAAATTGAAGAAAGTAGGGAAAAGCCCTAGGCCACTCAGGTATGATCTATATTCCTGATGAATATACAGTAGAAGTGACAAATAGATTTAAGGAATTAGATCTGATAGACAGAGTGCCTGAAGAACTATGGATGGAGGTTCGCAACATTGTACAAGAGGTAGCAACTAAAACCATCCCAAAGAAAAAGAAATTCAAGAGAGCAAAATGGCTGTCTGAGAAAGCTTTACAGATAGCTGAGGAAAGAAGGGAAGCAAAAGGCAAGGGAGAAAGAGAAAAATAAACCCATTTGAATGCAGAATTCCAGAGAATAGCTAGAAGAGATAAGATTGCCTTCTTCAATGAACAGTGTAAAGAAATAGAAGAAAACAATAGAATAGGAAAGACTAGAGATCTCATCAAGAAGGAGGAGAGTGCAACAGTTGGCTTGAAACTCAACATTAAGAAAACTAAGATTGTGGCATCTGATCCTCTCACTTCCTGGCAAATAGATGGGGAAGAAATGGAGGCAGTGACAGATTCTTTTTCCTGGGCTCCAAGATCACTGCAGATGGGGACTGCAGCCAAGAAATTAAAAGACACTTGCTCCTGGGGAGGAAAGCTATGGCAAATCTAGACAGCATACTAAAAAGCAGAGACACCACCCTGCCAAAAAAGTGCGTATAGTCAAGGCTATGGCTGTGAAAATTGAACCATAAGGAAGGCTGAGTGCCAAAGAATTGAGGCCTTTGAATTGTGGTGCTGGAGGAGGCTCCTGCAAGCCCCTTGGACTGAAAGGAGATCAAACCAGTCAGTCTTAGAGGAGATGAATCCTGACTGCTCTTTAGAAGGCCAGATACTGAAGATGAAACTCACATACTTTGGCCACCTAATAAGAAGGAAGGACTCCCTGGAGAAGAGCCTAATGCTGGGAACAATAGAGGGCAAAAGAAGAAGGGGACGGCAGAGGATGAGGTGGCTAGATGGAGTCACTGAAGCAGTCGGGGTGTGAGCTTAAGTGGACTCCTGGGGATGGTGGAGGACAGGAAGGCCTGGAGGAATGTTGTCCATGGGGTCGTGATGGGTCAGACCTGACTGCGCTAAACAGCAACCAAGGTGAATGTACACCCTCTACTGGTCGGTCAGTTCATTCGCTTTCTCTGCTGCATGAAGAATGGCCAGGTGTTTACATAAACATTATTTAAGTTCACAGGGAATTATCCTGAAGCTTTTTTTTTTTTTTTAATTCAGTTGACTTTCAGTTAACTGGCACCCACAGGATTGGTAGATGCCAGATAAATGTAATTTCTGGTTACTTGAGAGTTACTATTAAAAATTGGCCTAAATAATGCTATACCTTACACCATACCATACCATAAACTCTGTGCTGACTTGATATTAATATTAAAATACAGTAACTAAAAGCAAATTAAGACAACTCAAGACAAATTTCTGTCTTCTGTGACTGAGCCTTAATGTCATAGATCATTGACAAACCAACATTAAACTCCCCCATGAGCACTGCATGACTCTCGCCTTTCTCAAGCCTCTTGCTTATTTCCATTTTCAGCTTGAGGGTAAACACTATGCTTTATGCTTATTCCTTGGGACCATATTTGGGGTTGGGTGAGAACACAAAATTTGAATAGCGATAGATCCCAAAACGGGTATGTTTACACATGATGAACTGGCGGAAGTAGGCGACAAATGTGGGCTTACAGTGTGGCATGTGGCATGCGGGTTCAACTTACATTTTGGCTGGAAATTGATTTTATTTTTATAAGTATTATTTCTTCTTTTTTGCCAGTTGCTTGAGTTCTGGTTAACCGAGAGTCTATTGTATCTCCATATATTTGTAACTACATATTAATAATTAATTCTCAAGGGAATGCACTTACCTCCTCTGCAAAACACAGTTTTGGCATAATCGGGGTGGGTAACAACTAAGGAAGTGATAAAGCCACCAAACCATCTGGGAAAACCATAAGGGAATTGCTCAGCCCAGTTCAACATGATATCCAGTTCCTCTCTGTGGCTGGTTATCTGAAAAGATGGGAATTTCATTTTCTTTGAAGCACAATATTCATCTGAACCTTGAATAATTACACAGACTATAGATTGATTTCAGTAATTCCTGCACTGAGGAAATGGGTAAAATGGCCACTTAACCAACTTCTAAAAACGATAATGAAAGATGGTAGTGATTTGCATGTGCTAATTTAAATATAGATGCAAATTTATGAACAATGATGGTGCTTTCTGCTGACCAGGTGCTAAGTGTTCAGCTTTCCTTATAGTTCTTTATTTCCGAAAGTCAACCTGGACAGGACAGGCTTTCCAATCAATCAGGAGTGCTGAAGTTCATCCTTATTGGCCAAAATGGGTCTCCAGTTCAGCCATCTAGTATACCATTCCCCCATTCCGAAAAATTTAAAAGGTCTAAGGCTTAATTAATGACAATAAGAGCTTGAAACTAAAATATGCCAGTACTGCGGGAGAGGGGGGTTCCTTTGGCCTTGTCTACCATTGAATACAGCTTCTGAGAGCTTCTCAGAAGTTGAATTTGGTCTAAAAGGGAGTTCCATGAGTCTGGAACAGAGGATGGCTACAAACGGTCCTCCAGAAGCTCTTCAATTAGAAGACTGCCCTTAGCAGGAAAGAAGCCATGTCCAACCTGGCATAGAAGGCACGCAAAAGAAACACCTGGCCTGAAGGAGCTATCCAGCATCTTTGCCTGGCCTCTGGAGGAACACGTTTTCCCCCAACCCCACCACTTTTGCTGATGTTAGAACAATCTTTTTCAAAGACAACATTTAACAAGATCCCTTGTAACAGCAGCGGTCCATTAAAAAGTCTTTAAGCAGTTTGAAGACAAACCAGAAATTGAAGTGTGCTCCCTTTCTCTCATGCTCGGTCACTCTCTTTCACACATTCTCCCACACACACTTATGAAAGAAAACTGCCCTGATCTAGCATATCTCCCTCCCTCAATTTCCAGCTCACCAATTTTCTTCTTACCTGGTGAACATTACCATAAAGCCAGTGGCTGGGGGGGCCGGGAAATTTTTCAAAAGCCTTGAGCAGTGCTCGTCTTCTGTAATAGAACTGAATGGTTTTCATCAGCATGTAAAGAAGAGAGAACCCAGCGCATAAAAGCATAAGCTGGGAAGAGAGGCTTCCCATTTCCTCCATGGAGAAAATGATGATGATGAGAGTATTTCTGGAATGATGAAGAGCAAATTTCTTTTTCTGGAAGAGCAGAGTTCCTTGTTCCTTGTTACCATGTGTGTTTTTCCCTTCTTTTAAGTCTGTCCACAGAGAGCTTCTGCAGCCAATAGTCTGTGAGATCAACACTAAGTCCACACCTATGTCTCAGGTAACTCTGCTGATGCAACATCGTTTTGCATAGGCCTTGTCCAAACATTCCCAGCCCGTAATAACCTTGGGCAAAGTTTGCTGTTTCATTCTGAATTCATCTAGCTTTTGCCCTGCTTCAATTAAGAGAGATGCTTAAGAGTGTAAACTATAGATATTACACTCCATTGCTCCACATCACATTTTTAAAAATCACAAGCTTTACAGCAATGATGCAAATGTTGACAGCAATGTGTTCATCATGCAATCGCTGCCACTTACCTGGGCCAAGAGGGTGAGTCTGCCTCCCTAAATGAAATACCAAGTTTCTCGTGGCATCTTTTACAGATGCCATATTTTAATCTTGAAGGAACCACTTATCTTAGAGAAGGTGCTTGGTGATCAAAAGAATGCAGTTTTCAAACCAGGTTCTGTATCAATATGATTATGAAGTGTGACTGAACAACAGATTTGCCTCTTACATACTTTCATGAACAGAAATTCTGTTACTAAACTTTTACCCTTTTTATTCTTTAGTTAGGCCACCCCTTAGCAAAATTGTTGTTTAGATGTATGTCTTTGAGCAAAACCCACACATTGTGAACACATTCAGCTCAGTGTGGGACACAGCAGCTAAAAACATTGACTGTAGTCTCTTGCTGGGGCTCCCTGGGCAGAGGTGGATCCGCTGGAGAGGGCCAACTTCTTTACATAAGCTCAAGAAGAAAAGGTTTCCTGAAGAATTGTCCAATATCATCTGAGTTTCTTTAGGAAAAGATGTATCCCATTCTCAGACCTCAGGACAATCTGGGAGATGGGAATAGGAAGATTTGCAGGATCTGGAAGGATTTCGAAGCAAAGCAGGGTCATTGCAATAGCTATTTTCATCTCATTCATGGCAAATTGCTGTCCGATGCAATTCCTAATGAGAAAGGAAAAGAAAGAAGATCTTGAAAATGTTTGGTCTGCTATTTGCAAAGGGACCTCTGTGGATAGTCAGGCCAAGGCATTTTCCCTATTATTCAGTCCCCTGATTGCCAGACATTTTCCTTTGCAGATCAACTATAGTTCACCATGAAATTGCGGCTTCCATAATACAAAATGGTGAACTATGCATGGTGCAGAGAAAGTGAAAAGGAGTTAAAAAAATTTTCATAATATTAGAACTCTGGGTCTCATATCACATAGCATGGAATTCTCTTCTGTAATATGTAATATGGCCATCCATTAGGGACAAATTTGTGGCGGAGGAGGCTTTCACTGGTTGCTAGTCCTTATGGCTGTATGCTACCTC